GCACACTAGCAGCAGAATCATCATTCCAGAAGACTCAGCTTCTGCCATGGCTGACAAGGACCCTGAGGATTCTGATGTGATCGTTGAAATAGACTTGTCTTCAACTGATGATGGTGACGACAACACTGTGGGGACTGTGGGATGTGGTGATGACGATGGTGCAGGTGGTTGTGACAGTGACAGTGACCGTCACCTGTCTCCTACATCGTTTCAAACAGTGAAGGAATGGCTTGACGCCTATGAGGCCGCTATGTCACGTCCATTGAAGAGGAGACGTACGAAGTCGTCTGACTCTTGGGACGGTGAGTGGCAATCACCAGACCGTGGTGAGTGGCAATCACCAGACCGTGGTGCTGGACCACAGACACCTTCTATGACGCCTCCAGGATCGCCAGGATCGCGGCTATCCAGTTCATCATCGGTGTTGTCGGGGGCAAGCCTTGGCGAGCATGTGAGCCCCATCAGCTCTCCCTCGTTGCCAGTGCCGTCTGAAGTACCCTCTCCGTGTCCATCTCCGAGTCCGCCTGCCCCATCAACACCATTGGTCGAGGTTGAGGTGGAAGTGGAGACAAAACATTGTGATTGTTGCGAAGTTGTTGGTTTCTGCAGGATTTGCTTGCGAGAGTTTCGATCACCGAGGCCCTCACACTTGGATGATGTGTTCTGTCCGGCTCACAATCCGTCCCCCACCAGCCCCAGACGGAACAAGCAATGATGCCAGGAACAAGCACACAAGAGAAGATGACAAAAAGGTTTATCGTTTTGTTGGGTCGTGGTGATTCGGATTTGTATGGCCTGGTTTCTGTCTGTCCAAGAAATTTCCAGCAGGAGTTTCCATCATGATCATCATGATCTTATTGTCCAACGGTTTTAGAGTTATGAGAGTTATGAAAGTTCTGATGCCATGAACATTCAGTGAACTTCCCTGCGCTGCAGACTGCAGACTTAAAAAAAACTTCAGATGATGAGTTTGTTTTTGTTTTGTTTGTTTGCCATTGATTCATTGATTCATGTTGGTGGTGTTTTCAAGATGATGGATGGATTGATGCTAATGATGACCGAAGCTTACTTGATGATTGATGGTTGATGACTGATGATTGATGATTGGTTGATTGATGATTGATGATTAATGATTGATGGATGAGGATGAACATGAGGATGGTGATGAGGATGAGGATGAGGATGATGATGATGAAGATGATTATGATGATGTTTCTGACGATTCTGATGGTGATGATGATGGTGATGATGACGGTGGTGATGATGATGATGGTGGTGATGGATGATGATGATGATGATGATGATGATGATGATGCTGATGATGATGATGGATGATGATGATGATGGATGATGATTCATGATGATTGATGATGATGATGATGATCATGATGATGATGGTGATGATGATGATTAAGATGATTATGATGATGTTTCTGATGATTCTGAAAGTGATGATGATGATGGTGATGATGACGGTGGTGATGATGATGATGATGGTGGTGATGGATGATGATGATGATGCTGATGATGATGATGGTGATGATGGTGATGATGATGATGATGGATGATGGATGATGATGATGGATGATGATTCATGATGATTGATGATGATGATGATTGATGATGATGATGATGATGGTGATGATGATGATGATGGATGATGATGATGATGATGGCATGATAGATATGATTCTTTTGTTCAAAAAATATAGCAGATATTTTAGTATAAACATATCTAAAATATTTGATTCTAATACTTCTGATCTTATGACTTATGACTTAAAGGACTCATGACTCTGTTTTGTTTGCTTGCTTTCCTCGCGCCAGGCAATGGTCCATTGTGTGTGTGTGCGTTCGGGGGCCTTGTCGGAGTGGCAAGCTGTCATCGTGAAGGTGCAATAGAATGGAAACATGACCAAACTTGGCAATGGTGTACCATACTGTTGGATTTATGATGTTTGGGCGGGCTTTGGGGATTTGATTTACTAGTCAGGTAATCTCAGGTATCTCCACCTCACCAAATCCATGTTTTGAAATGGCTTACCAGGTTACTTGGTTGTATACATCCGTTGCATGGAGCCTATCCAAATTGCAATTATACTTGACGACCTTTTTATATGTTTGAGTTTTATGTTTTGTTTTCTGATGTTTCTTGCCCCGCCATCAAAACCACAGTCCATTACCTAGCTCTAGTTTCGAGCTCCCGCTTCCTCCGTGCCCGGGCAGTCAATTTCAGAATTCATCTCAAGGCAGAGTTGCAGTTGTACTGCTCCGGCTGGATCAACTGGGAATGGATCAAGAGGCTCTTGAATCTAGGAACTGGGAACAATAAATTGGTTGAGCCATGGACATAAGCAGGGCTGGTAGGGAAAATGGATTGTTTTGGTTTGGCCCTTTGCCCATGCGAGCGTTTGAAGTTACATCAAGCAAATAGTTGACCGGAATGGAAATAGAATATTATTTGGATGCAGTAGCATGGTCAGTATGGCTAGCATATGCTGGAAAGATGCAGTCAAGTGGCAATGAATAGTCTCTCTACTTAGTGGTACATCGCTGGTGTTGACTTACATTCTTGAGGAAAAAACTTCTTGGGTACATGTGATGCCCCAGATATTGGAAATGGATCCCATTCGATCACACGTGTTTTGATTCTTTTTGCTTTGTTGCTGTAAAGTTTTAATCATAAATTTGGGAGGAAGAGAAATGCTATTGGCTCCAATGATACAATGTCTTTTTCCTCCAAACCATTGGTGTAATTGTATTTTTTAGGTTTGATTAAAAAATGCAAAAAAATGCATTTTTCGCAAGGAAGTGGTTCTTGGCGGGGCTTGGGTGCCAGGAGGCTGCTTCCTGGCAGCCACCAAGTAAGCTGCAAGCGCTTCCTGGCAGCCAGCATGTGGCTTCTTGGCGCTTTTGTCTGCCATGAGGCAGGGTCATGGCTGCCAAGACCCTGGGTCCTGGCACCGGCTGGCTGCCAGGAACCTCCTCTCTGCAACATAGGCCCCAATTGCAATTCTTGGAGGTTCATTAAATGTCATCACAAAGCAGTTTTTATTGAGAAAACACACATGCTTTGTGTGATTTGTGTGTTTGTATTTATGGTGTCGCCTTGTGGTTGTACTGCGCCAACCACCACACAGTACCCTCCAATCCACGCAAAACCATTGGCAGGTCGAGCATGCTTTATATTGCCAATCATGGGCAGGCTCCTGTATGTGGATGACGTTTCTGTCGGTGTGGGGGTGGTTTGTTTAATGATCATGAGACCCCTGGCTACTTTGAATTTCAGAACCAGCCCAGCGCTCCTTTTTTTGCAGTTTGTAGTAGAAACCTTGTGTTTCAAGTGTCTGGTGTACATGAATATGTGTACTGTGTACATGTAGCTCATGTAGTAGGCCAAACCGTCATACGAAGCAAACAACTTTTGCACCTGTGGCCTGTGGACATATCGAGACTGCAGGTCTGGGCTGGACTCAGTGGCTCTATGGGATCTGGAGGTGGGCAGCCTGAACCCCGTTGTGTGCTGGTCACTTTTTGTGTCTGAACTAAATGACACACAACACCAATCCTCCAAATTCATGTGGTCGAGTTGTAGTTGGAGAATTATTGAGCATGGGAACTGAGTTTGTTTAATATGACAATATGTATATGTCGATGAGTTCCTTGGGTCCTATAGCCTCCCATAGCCTCCTATAGCCTCCTATAGCCTACTATAGCCCATATGACCTACAGACCGTTACAAACTTCTTGTCTGATCGCATTGCAGGGGCTACGCGGCTACGCTTCTGCACTGCGATTGGAGGACAGGCATGTGACATGTGGTCATACCACCCATGCAGGTCACACAGTCCACACATCACATATCGCCACACACATCAGCAGATCCACTGCTTTCTGGAATGCAGTGCAGTTAGTACATTGTTTGTCAAGTATCATTATGTTGCCAGAAAAAAATCAACAATCACAATCAACATTGTGAATTTGTGAATTATTGTGAATAGTAGGAAAAGTGGAGCACACATGATTTGGTGTTTCAAACAAAACACTGTTTGCATTGAATGGTACTGTGACGTCTTCGCCGTTGTTGCTGTCGCTGTTTTGATCCAAACCAGCTAATTAGCCAATTAGCCATACCATAACCAATCCTCGATTCCTCGATCGCCAATCGATCGATCGCTGATCCTGGTTCTCCTTCACCAGTCTCAGTCTTTGCCCAACAGTATTGCCTGATCGTGTGAAGAGCATGGTACGTAAACGACCCAGTGCAAATGATGAGAATGATGATCATGGAGTTCATGTTCAAGGAGAGGAGCAGGGCCATGAGGCAACCAAGCACAGAGGTTTGCTGATTTCATCGACCCACATTGCCCGCTTTCTTGCTCCGGTGTTGAGCAGGAAAACGGCAGAGGTTAGGAATTTCAATTGCCGAGTGATATCGAAAGGCACACCCATCTATTTGGTGGAATCAGGTGTCAAAGACTCAGGTGGCAATGGTGTGTTCAGGATTGTGGCTCGTGCTGAGTTTGGTGGCAACTCCTTTGTGAAGCACGAAGATTTCCAGCACCATCACAGCAAGCACCGTTGTACAGCTTCCGAGTATGAAGAAGTGAGATCAAAATGGCAGTCTGATAAGGGTGGATGTGTTTTGTGGGCAATGAAAGTGGTGGAGATCCTGCAGACTCCTTTGTTTGTCAAGCCTGGCCGTGGAGAGGAGAGGTTTTGAGATTTTGCTATTGTTTTTTGTCCAACTGTCGCGCTGTGTGACATTATTTTTTAAATACAGAATATGTTCGTTAGTGTATTAAATATTAATTGTATGATTCTGTGGTTGTGATGTATTACTGCAGTACACTGACAGTACATAGTACTCAGTAGTAGTGGTGGCAGTGGTTGCTTACTTTTCCACATGGGCCCACGGACCTATGGACCTATGAGGATAATACATATTTTATCATCAATCACAATCACTAATTCTGTAGGAGATTTGGATGAGTTTCCGGATGGAGGATGCTGTCTCAGATATCGATGCCGTTCACCGACCGGACCGTGTGGTGAAGTCACGAAAGACTACATCCACGCCCAAGCAACTTAAGGAAACCAATGAGGCTAAAGAGTCTGGGCTTCCGGCAAATGTGCCGCCTGAAGACTCCGTCGGCCCAGTTGCTGGGGGGAAAGAATCCATGGACAAGACAAACAAGATCGACAAGACCAATGAGGTTGAAGGTGATAAAGGTGAAGAAGGTCAGAAGGAGGGTGCTGAGTCAGAGTCTAAGTCAAAGTCCGAGTCCAAACCTGAGGTTGAGATTCAGGATGTGCCAAACGGTTCGGACTTGCCTCCAATGAAGGGCACCGAGGGACTTGTCAAGAAGAAGAACAAGAGGGACAACAGCCACAGCCCTGAGATGAAGGCTATGGTTTCTCATGCCTCAACATCTCTCAATCTACCGGATGTTGGGGAGTTCTGGAAAACCACTACTGCCAAAGACGAGTTGAAAGTCTTTGAAGGGAAGCATGTCCACAAAGTACATCGTCAAGAGGGCCGACTTGAACAAATGAGTGATCCTTTCGCAAAGCGCAATGCAGACTTTGACACACTTTCACAGGCCATGGCTGAGCTGATTAGTGTTGAGTATCCTGAACTACTGGACACAGAGAGCGTCCAAGCTGAAGCCAATGGGTTTGATTGCACTTCTGCTGCTGACTCGCGCTTGTCAAAGCTTCGATTGAATCTGGATGAGGATGAGAAGGTAGGGATTCCGGATTCCGGGGTGTCAAGTTCAATGTCATTCAATGTCCTTTGACGATTGGTGATTGAAAATACTTACTGCAATTCATGCAAATGAAGGCATATGATTGTATATGCCGATTTCCCTTGCCATTTGTTGAGCTGGAGCCTTACTGCGATTTGATAGGATCTTATCTTGCTTCATTCTGCATGCCAATCAATCAGTCTGCCTTCCAAGCACATTGGGGAAAGAGAGACATGAGACATGTACTTCATGTACTTAGTAACTTGCCTTACTCATTGACCCAACACCGATTAATCATATGACGATTCTGATGATTCAATTTTCAGTGAATTAAAAACAGATAACATAATAACATAACAGCATATGACATATATATATATAATAATAATAATCATAATAATAATAATGATAATAATAATAATATAGATATACAGATATATAGTTATAAAAACACAAGACTTTAGTGAAGAAGTTAGAACTGCTTAGTTTAGGATCAACCGTCGTCACTTGCTCAACCCAATCAGGCTTTGCCTCCGGAGTCCTACCAGGCCAATGGGCAGACTCTGCAGCCAACAGGCGGTGGTGTGGGACATGAAGACCACAACATGACCAAAGGGAATGTGACCCAGCAATTGACCTCGCCTACTCTCATTGATCCTGCGACCGCCCCAAGTTTTCCATCACATTCAGATGGCAATGTGGGTGACGGCGAAACGTTGTTTGGACCAATGGACGGGACCACTTTGAATGACTCCCCAGAAGGGACACAAGTTGCATTTGCATCTACACCGTCACCGCCGACGCCAGCTGCCTCTCCAACACTGTCTGAACTTCAGAGGGTCAAGGGTCTGTCACACCAGAAACAGACAGTGCGCACTATGAATGACAATTTTGAATTCTTCAGACAGGCTGTGGAAGAGGTGTGCACAATTGGAGAGCCTGTCTCATCAGAGTATCGTTCCTCATTCAAGCTTGACCCGGCAGTTGATTTCATTAGCCCAGATGAGCTGAAGAGCCGTTTCGGACAGTTTACCATGTCGACAGCATACTCTGGCGTAGGTGCACCTGAGGCTACGATGCACGTGTTGAGGCATACCATAGAGGACATGTTCGGGCCAGGTGTTCCTATGCCGAAGGTGCTCTTCCAGTGTGAGTACGATGAGAATTGTAGAACAGAACTTTTCAAGTATGATCAGATTCCAGGAGGTTCTGATGCATGCGTTTTCGGCGACCTATGCGAGTTCTTTGTGGATTCGATCAAGGGCACGATCAAGGAGTTGAAAGCCCGTCCGGAGTTAGCTTTCGAGGTCTTAGCTAAGATGGTGGCGAGCGGCGAAGCCGTGAAAACACATGCATACTGCCACAAGCACAAGAAGACTTGCTATGTGACCCTCGGCTGTTTCCGGTGGCTGTATATCTTTTGGGAGTTTTGAAATATATTATCAAGTTGAAAGTTGAGTCTGCCCCTGGCCCCTTATATTCTCTTGCAACTTCATGCAATGTTGTTGTCGAAAGCTGGGTGCTGGTGTGAACTGACGTGATGAAACAAAGTTTGTTGTCAGATCATGCTGGTGATTGGTAATTCATTAATTCATCGGCCCGTCCTCAATTGAAATGTCAACGAATCTTCGTCTAGATTCTAGATAACTGGCATTTCAAAACTGCACCATGTCAGGACGATGGCTATCGTGCACACAGCAGGAACCAGCTGCATAGCATATGCACCAAACGGAAATATGAAGGGAGTGCGTGATCTGAGCATCCTTCCATTCTTGGCATGGATAGGTTTGCGAATCAAGCTACAGGAGCCCATTCTGCTCCACGAAAACAGCAAGCGTTTTCCAGTATCCATCATGCATAGACTGCTTGGGCACATCTATCACATTGATGACACTGATGTTGACGCTTTGGTTTATGGCGGGGTTGTGCGTCGAGAAAGAAAGCTGACTAGGTTTGTGCATCGTGAGAAGGCTTTCTATCTGTGCAAGCCCAAGTTCGTAGACTTCAATGCTCGTTTTTACCGAGAGAGTCTAATGCACTGGTGTGAGTACTACTGGCAACACTTGATGGACAACTCAGATGCGAAGGAGCTTAAATCCCGTCTTTCTTTCTATCATCCTGGTATGGTTTTGAATTGAATCCTTGAATCCTTGAATTTTGAAATATCGAATCTCGAATGAAATTGCAATTGAATGTCAATGTGAATCATCTACTGACTGTCTACGGACCGTCTACCAACAGTCAGTGATTGTACCAGCCTGGCAGGAAGAAATGAATGAGGATTTGCAGTGGAGCCAATCTCGCCCAGCAGTTGTTCGTGCTCGTGACCGTGCTGCGGCCGTTCAGCCTGTTGAGCCTGCTGAGCCAGATGCCATTCAGAAGGATGACGAAGTCAAAAACCCGTATGAGGCAGCGTTGACTGAGTTTGAGAGAAAGTCACTGCGGGCCTACAGGCAAAATTGGCCAGGAATGGCATACTCCTTGACGCAAAATGGAGCCACCGGGTTTGCAATGCATTCCTCACCGGATTGCATGCACACCTTGATCCGCAATCTTGGTTTGGTCTGGAGCGATGTGCTTTCATCAGGCCAATGGTTGGTCATCATTTTGTTGTAGCTTGAAACTTGAACCTTTGAATCTTTGTATTCTTGAATTATTTGATTAACTATATATCAAGCTGCTCAAGTCTTGAATACTCTGGTAAATTGTTGGCACTTGAAACAGCCACAGCAACTCCTTCAAAGGTCTAAAAGGCCAAAGTTCAATCATCACCCCCCCGGTGTCCATTGATTCATTCGGAAACATCAGAATCACCGGAATCACCACCATCCATTGTCCTCATGACTCATCATCATTCCCCTTTTGCAGGTGACAATTCCGGTGGCGCCGATGATGGTGATGAACGCCAAGGGCGCTGGCTGACTGGCACGGAAGCTCTTCTTGCACAGGCTTTTCCAGTACATCATGGGATACACAAAGGCTTGCGTTTGTGTTGCTTCAATGTGCCAGCCAAAAGCGAAGATGGTCCTTTGTTTCAACGTGTATCCCGTGTGATGCGACAACAAGCTGGCAACAGTATGAACCTCTTTGCCATGACGGTTCAGTACTTGTATTTACTGCTCTATGTGAAGGCAAGGGTCTTGCGGTTGGACTTGTATCAATGATCGGGATCCAGTGACAGTGGCAACTGCATCAAAAATATTCAATAATGCAGTAATGTGTCCTCTGCTATTACTGCCAGTGAACTGCAACTCATTTGATTTGAAGAACCTCTCAAGTCAAAGCAAGGTATCCATTTAGTTCAGAAAGTCAGCCAGTTAGCATACAAACATGTAGACTTATGTAGACCATGACTGAAGCATGGCCCAAACATAAAAATGACATTCATTGCAGTGCATTGATTTTTACATACATCATGTATACTGACTTATATTATATTAACATATATGTACGTTGTACATGTATTATATTTTACTATTACAATATTGTATTGTTTTGTTTAAATTATCAGCTTACAATTTTACAACGTTACAGTTACAGTTTGTAATTTGGTTTCCCACAGTAATGAACTCGATCGGGCAATGTCCCCTCTGCGGTTTGCCCTGGTTGCAGGTTAATACTCCTAGCCTTCCGATTCGTGGCATTCACAACATGCGGCAGACATTGAAGCGGAGAGCCCTTGACGATGGTGAGATGGATGGTGAGAATGAGAGCAACGTTCCCACTAGAAGACTTCGTGGAAAATCGCCTGGTCAATCCAAGCCACCACAAGGCCGTATGTTTACTCGGGTCTTTCCAGTACCTTGCATCTCTGCGGAGCCTTGTTCATCCTTCTCTGGGGCGGCAAGCAGTGCGAGCGGTAGCGGCGGGGTTGCTGGAGCAAATCATGGAGCGACCCAGTGAACTGCAATGGTTCGGTTCCATGATTCAATCATCATCGTTCTTCATGAATCTTCAACTTCCAATGTTGAGTCTTGATGGCTGATGGCCTTATGCTATGGGTATGGTATGATGGGGAGGGGATGTGATAATCCTTGATAGTGAAGGTGTTGTGTTCAAACTTGGCAAACAAGTCCAGTGCGGGGATTCCTGGACTTTTGCCATCACTGGACCATTCACCGAGCATCCTCCCGGCTGATCACAATGTACAATAGTTAATTTGCTTCTACTGCACTGTCGATTCGAGTCAATGCACAAACAGGACAGGCGTTGTCTTAGAATCCAGTGCAGTAGCACAGCCTGTGGGTTGTGGTGCGTTGTTTGTGTCCGAACGTCCGAATGTACTGAGGTAACTGAAGTAGATTCAGTAGATGCTTTAAGTCAAAGACTAGACGGTATCGGTATCCACATCCACTACTAATGCTGCCAATCGATTCCTGGCGGGTATATATACATATAGTTATATAGTACAGATACGAAACGAAAGAGGATTCAGGATTAGAGGATAGCGGATAGAGGGTTAAATTTTAGTTGGGTATACTTGGGGTGCGGTTCCCGAATGTGGAATGAGTCATGAGTTTTGCAAACGAATGCACATATGTAACATATGTATATATATATATACATATATATATGTGTGTGTACACGTATACATTTTTGTCATTTACATTTGATTAACTATGATTAACAGCATGCGCAAGTTGAACCAAACCAGCTGCAATGAATGACTTAAAGTACGTTTGGGACAGTAGCCTGGGGCATAGGCCTAGACAAAATCAGTTGAGTTGAGACCGCGACCGATTGCCAACCAAGCAATGAAGCAGTGAAAGAAAAGGACACCTCCACCTCCACTGCTGTATCGAGGGACTCATGGAGTCATCGTTGCATCAAGTGTTAGCACTTTTACTTTATCAACTTCAACCTGACAGGCAGTAGATTGATTCAGGTACCTAGGTATCGATACTTGTCCCATTTGCCGACCCCCCATGTTGTGCCAGGACCAAACCCATTGGAGCTTTGTCTCCATCACTTGTTCGGACCCCCAGATGATCTTTGATGTACGATTACGATGATGCAATGATGCAATGACACAATGACTAACCTGACCTGATGCATGCATGAGTGCATGAGATATGATTTGAAGAGGGTGCAACTGTTTGATTCATTGATGGCCGACAGTCTCGTTGTCAGTTGCCAAGTTGTCAGGACTTGTTAGGCTAGGCATCAAATTAACAACTTAACAATATCCATCTAAAGTCACGTAGCATCGAATCGAAACGGAGACCTTGCATTTGCATCATCTTTTTGACAGCTGCCTGGCTGCATCGCCCCCTCTCTCAAGTTGGAGTGAAGCGAAGCATCGAGGTGAATAGACCAATTGTGAAAATCGCAAATCTTTGTGTTTGCCCCAGCCCATGAAGAGAGCTGCATCGGACACTGCTCTTCCAGATGGGTTGCCGAAGATGCAGCGTGTGGACCTCACTGAGGACATACCGGAGTTTGTCGGTTTGAAGGGCCAGTTGTTGGTTGATGCCATTTTCCACAAGTATGGACAAGGTGTCTCAACCATCCCTTGGCTCAACGAAGACACCAAAGAGAGGAACATCAAACCAGACCCCGTCAATCGACCAGTGATGGAGAGCCTCGCTGAGGCATACATGGACAGGATATTGACATCAGGTCTCAATGTTGATTGCAGCGGACAGGGGTTCTCAAAAAATGTAGTGGTTCAAAGGTTTTAAAAACGGAACGGAAAATCAAAATGATTTGAAAAATAAGAATATGATGTAATGACGTACTGTGTGTATGTTGATTTGTTGATGTTGATGTTGAATGAAATTGATAATGAAACCATTGTCTTTTCTGAGGTTGTATTGCTTCCCGCAAAACCAACCTTGAATCTTGAATGCCATATACTGTGGGTGGACTAGTGACTGGTAAAGCAGTAGCAATAGCCACTGCCCTGCCAGGAAGAGCATGGATGGTAGCTGCGTCAACTACAAGTACTTTGCCTGCGCAGGCCATCACCTACAATCACCGCTCCGAAGCGATGTATCGGGCCATTGCCAAGGAACCGTCGAATCCCTACGTTCTGAAGAGTCTCAGAACGGGCTTGGAGAACGTCCGGATTCTGTCAAGCAAGACTCCCGTTCAAATCAGGGAAGTTCTATGCGCAATGCACAATGCGTACCACGATGGGACAGCAGAGACATGGACATCTCTGCTCGATGTTGCCGAAGACGTCATGATTCAGTGGGAGCAGAAAGCCACTTCGGCTGGTCTTACCACGCGGAACTCCCAATACGAGCAGATTCTGGAGCGTTTCCTTTTCAAGGACAAGCAGAGCGTGACAGCCCCTTGGAACGGATCTCTGAATTTCTTCAAGATCACCTCCGTGCTCAACAACCATTTCAACCGTCATCAGATCAAATCAGCAGTGCGTTCATGGTGCAACAGCAACATGAACTTCTCGGATTTCAAGCTCAACAACAGGACGGGTATAGTCAGGGCATCAGGGTAGAGTAGATTAAACAACCACACCGAAAGATTTTCAAGTCAAGATTCAGGACATTCAAGATATGAAAATTATTAGGGTGCCGGTGACAACAAGCATAAGCACAACAGTCACAACAGTACAGCAGTAACAGCAGTACCAGCTACAACTGCAGCCGTAGCATCAACAGCTCCGAAAAAATTACTTTACTTCGTGTGATCCCCACCATGACATTTATACATTTTCTTACTGGCAAATCTTCTGGCATTCTATCTGACATATCTTCTGACATTCTATTTGGCATTCTATCTGGCATATCTTCTGGCATATGATCTGGCATATCTTCTGGCATATCTTCTGGCATTCTATCTGGCATATCTTCTGGCATTCTATCTGGCATATCTTATCTGGCAAATCTTCTGGCATTCTCACTCTGGGCATCTTCTGGCATATCTTCTGGCATATATTGACATATCTTCTGGCATTCTATCTGACATATCTTCTGGCATATATTCTGACATATTATCTTCTGGCATATCTTCTGGCATATCTTCTGGCATATCTTATCTGGCATATCTTCTGGCATATTTTCTGGCATTCTATCTGGCAAATCTTCTGGCATTCTATCTGGCATTCTATCTTCTGGCATATCTGGCATTCTATCTGGCATATCTTCTATCTTCTGGCATTCTATCTGGCATTCTTCTGGCATCTTCTGACATCTCCTACATGAGGTCCGGCACTTGGATACCTGAGGTCCGGCAGGGAACACTGGGCGTGGATGGTCGCGGTTGAGGTCCGGCAGGGAACACTGGGCGTGGATGGTCGTGGTTGAGGTCCGGCAGGGAACACTGGGCGTGGATGGTCGTGGTTGAGGTCCGGCAGGGAACACTGGGCGTGGATGGTCGTGGTTGAGGTCCGGCAGAGAACACTGTGGATCGCGGGTCGCAGTTGGCGAGGACGACGAGGACGACGAGGAGGACGACAAGGACGACAAGGATGACAAGGAGGACGAGGAGGAGAGGAGGAGAGGAGGAGGAGGAGGAGGAGGACGAGGCAGGAGGCAGGAGGAGGCAGGAGGAGGCAGGAGGAGGCAGGAGGAGGCAGGAGGAGGCAGGAGGAGGCAGGAGGAGGCAACTGACATAAAATCTAACAACCCTCACCTGGCAGGTGGGGAAAAAACACCATTGTGGCCGGTGTCATTGTGATTTTTATTGCCACCAAATCTGTGCCTGCAGGGACGTGATCATGATGGTGCATCAATTGACCGTGATAGTGGTCAATGCCATGAAAGGCTTCTATGGCCGAGAGTTCATCGGAATTGCCCTCCAAGAAGCTGTGAAGTTTTGTGTGCTTTGGCTGGGGTTTGAGGCTACGGCTACCGGACTATGACTACGGTTACAGGCAATCAATACAAGATAATACAAGCTAAGACTAAGTACGGGTCCGACTGGTTTTGGAATGGTTTACACGGGAGGGAGAGAGAGACAAATATATAATATATAATACAATATGTTACCTATAATTATACAGTTAATGATGATTAACGATAATAATAATTATGTTATTTATACTTAGGAGGAGGTACTGACACTATGACGTGATGTGTTGACAAACCACTAGAGTAGAGGAGGCTAGATACAGAAAGAAAAACACACTTACTTGCTCAACCTGACTCAGGCTCGGCTAGCTGTGCAATTTTATCAATAGATACAGATCGGCTTTGTCAATTCTGATAGCAAAGCTTTGCATAGCTTAGCACAGCTGTAGTGAGTGACTGACTGGTAGTATTAGTCCGTTCAGTCCAACCTGCCAATCCGATTTACTAAGGTGCCAACCCGAAACGCTGGATCTGGTGAGCGGTTGCTTCCACAGGTTTTCACAAAGCCAGGAGGTGAGACCCTTTCCATCATGTCCTACCTGACTACCCCAATGGCCACTAGCGCAGTGTTCAAGAAGCTTGAGGAAGAGCACAACTTCGATGCTCCGACGCATCATGGCAGCGGAGACACGGACAAGGACAAGGACAAGTCCTTGCCATCAATCAAGCGTCGTGCTGGTGCTGGTGGTCGTGGTCAAGGAGCAGGTGGCGGCGGGAGGGGCAGGAAAGGTCGCAAGGGTGCTGAGAAAGAGGGTGAGGCAGTGGATTGTGATTTGGAGGACACGGGTGTGGCGAAGGAAGCATGGTCCCCCATGGCATACCCACTCATGTGTGACGGGGTTGGTGACTCAGGCAGTCGCCACAAGACAGCCCTTGATGATTTCATGCACCAGTTTCTGCACATCTCCACTGGCTTTGAGAAAAAACTTGGATCCACTGAGAAGGCTTGTGACCAGTACAACTCCGCAGTGATGACCCTCTTCGGGCACGCCATGTCTTGCTTTTATGAGTTCTGCTTCACAGGCTCAGTGGCCATCAATGGCAAGTTTGTGAAATCGTACACCGCATTCAGAGATGAAATGAGCACATTCGTTTCAACAGGATGTGCGCTGGCTTCTGGCAAGAAAGCCTTGTCTTTAGCCACCCATATTTCAGACATGATTGACGGTGACACGGCTGGGCTGTCCTTGGGTCATGCAAAAGATGAACCAGATGAAGCCAAGACCACAAACCGCATCAAGATCGCGCTGCCCATTGTCATCAAGACAGGAATGGAGACGTTTTTGCATGAAGTGGTTCCACTGCCTTTGGAATTCCATGCGCAGTTTACCAGCGTGACTGGGCTAATTGGGGAAAATGAATATTCACTTGCTCAACAAATCAACAAAGATAAGATTGGATTCGATGCCAGATTGAGATATTATATATATATATATTATTTACAGATAGCTAGCTGATAATGATAGCATAGCTGCTAGCTGATAGCAAAGTAGCACGGTAGTAGCGCAGAGTCAATTGTCAGTTCAGTTCATAGTACGGTAGGTAGTAGGTAGTTGAAATAGTAGTTGTTGTTATTAGTTGTTATTGTTACTTGTTATATTGTTGCTATGCGTCTATTCATCGTGGAATCGTGGACTATGAGTATGGGACTTACGACGTATGAGCCGTATGAGACGTATGAGATATTATGAGCCATTCTGCCTATGATGGCTGATTGCTGGTTTGTTGCTGTTTGGCTGTTTGGTAAAAACATGTATCATGCACGTCACATCCATATCCCTCTTGACCCAGAACCGGACCATATTATAATATATGTTATTTTATGTTTTACATTTTACATGAACTATATGCATATATTGTAATGAGTGATGCAATGTAATAATATTTTAGGTTTGAAATGCGCTGACATGGCATGGATATGAGGCATGGTTAGGTCCTGGTCAGGTTATCTTAGATCCTTATCTAGTACCTAGCTATTAGCGGCTTTATTATCTATTATCAAATTAGTTATCTGACATGAAATAATCTAATTAATATCATATCTTATTTCTGACTAAGTCTAATTTAGTTATCACCGAGCGAGCACCCCCACTATGTTCTATGCTTCTATGATGTCACATTATTCATTATGATGTCCGGTTGGGGCCCACCAAATCAGGCAAAGCAGGCACTTGCGATGGACGCTGGAATCACTGGAACTTCCTCACTGTTTTCAGTGCTCCAGAAGATCTATGACGGCCTACGTGATGCCCTGCCACAGGAATGGATTTCTTTGGCAGTTGACGTGTCTGAGATGCTCACGGTGCGTTTGGGCTTCGTGGGTGGGTCGCATGAGCTGTTTCGCGGTCAAAGGGGCATACTTGAAAGATTCATCACCATTCGTTCTTTGTATGCTTTGACCCTGTTGCGGTCTTTGGCACAGCTCAAGAAGACATCCTTTGACGTCCACGTCAACCTCCTGATCACATCACTGCAAGTGGACATGGACAACTCGTTGAAGCTTTCTCTTGCGAAAGAACGTGGTGGTCTTGATGCAGATGCACAGGGTGGACCCAAACCGCACAAGGTTGCAGCATTGGTTCCCGGGTTTGATGCTCTTCAGAGCAACTAGAACTTGACCAGCAGCAATGTTTTATATCTTTTGTTTTACAGTACAGTCCAGTACTGTCCAGCACCTTCTGAGTCTGAGTCTGAGGGCACTCAATTTAACTTACTACTCATTTCTTAGTTCTGTGGTCGTGCATTGCTTATTGTAATTGTTGTTGTTAGGATGCTAAGCTAAACAGTGTTTACTTGATGCTATGTTTGTTTATGTGTCTTCCACCTGCAACCCCTACGACGGAAATGCCTTCAAATTCAAATGTCCACATGTCATAAAATGTTATATGTTTGTTTGTTTGCCAGTACAACGGTGCAACAGGCAGCGAAACGTGGGCTAAGAATTGGACCTCGCTGCTCAGCACCAAAACATCAGAGGGAGCTTATTCATGGCTGAAGGTCTTTGCTTCTGCAAGGGATGGTACTGTGGCATTTGACTTGGAAAAGGCCGAGACCGAAACATCAGATGCGGCTGCTGCAGGTGCTGGTGATGGTGATGAGGAGAAGGATGACAAGGGCAAGGAGTCCAAGGAGGCTGAAGATGGGTCAACAAAGAACATTCGTTCGAAGATGACTTTGCAGCAATTAGCGCTTTGCGGCATGAGCAGCCTGGTCGAGAACTCTCCCGAATACAAGCGCTTGTTCGGTGATGACAAGTCCAACGTTTCAGCACTTGACATCAAACTCCTTGAGCTGCGCTTGGAACTGTTCCTGTGGGACTGGGTCTACCGGGTCTCCCTTTACTTTTGCTTTTAATTACTTTTTGGACTCAGAACTCAGAACTTGATCTTTATTCATTGATCGACAAACCATATCAACGTTGCACTACAATGACGGACCTAGACTTAGACCCACTTAATACTGGCTGAACCTATGCTCTCTAACTATAGCTCTTGACTCTATGAAGTTTCTATGACTTGTTGATGACACTATGACTATCACAAGTCACAATGGCAATGACTGACCACGATCAGAGCAGTGCAGTGCAGGACTACTTCTTGGACAGCCTGGAGTACACATCCTCCTTTGTTGAATGGAACTTTGGCGATGCAGATGAAGAAGCACAAGCTTTCTCTTCTGGGAGCACTGCCAAGATCAACAAAGTGAACAAGAAGACACAGAGATTGCACATCATTCGCCTGAGTGAGTTGAAAGAAGTTCAACACCAAGACAAGCTTCGCTTCCCTTTTCTGGGACATGTGTCCACGACCAAGTCGGCTTCATCCATACCCTTTTGCAAATTGTTTGGATGCGTTTTCTACTTCGTCCCTCCAGCCGCGCCAAGTCCAACAAGTTCCATTGTCATTCCAAGTTGGCTCATTCAGACGACCAACAAGGCTGCACAGGCAACGATTACTGAACAAGTCGTTACTGTGCACTGTGTGTCCAGCTTGTGCATTAGTAACTTTAATTTATTGTTCTGTTTTGGTTTGGTCGATTTGTTTCGTTGGTTGGGTTGGCTCTGCTGTTGCTTCTTGACAACGGCGAGAACGAATCATGTCTCACTGAATCAACCGGCACCGGAGAATGAACTAATGAACTAATGAACTCTGGGGAGAGAAGTTGCTTTATTTTTGCCCAGGCAGTGACCAAACATCTCGAAATTCGTCAAGCTTCGACAGCAAATAAAGATCATGATGCATTCTTCGCAGTAGAGGTGAAGATGAGCTGTGGCTTCAGTTCATCATTTTTTGATATGTGTCGTAGCCACTATGATGTCATTGTTTCAGTATTGCATTGCACGACTGTTACCTTTATCAATCATTGTGATTTTCACTGTTGCTGTGGTATTGTGTCAGCTGTGACAGGCTATGACTATGTGACTGTGTCTATGTTAATGTTGATCAGTTCTCGTTGGTATGTTCCCGGCATGTTACCCGGCATGTTGGTGTTCGTTTTCAAAAGGCGTTAACCGTATTATATTCTTATCAGTCGTTGAGTCGTTGATGTTTGCTATTGTTGTTGGTTCTGGACTCGACTCTTGATGTCAGGATGCTTCCCATCAGCGGTGCACTGACCGCTGCCATCCAGCGCAGTGAATCGGAGATGCCAATGATCAAATATGTCGCCCCCAAGAAGAAGGATGAACCGCCTGCTCATGAGCCATCATCCTTCCCAGATCAAGAGCAGCGGATGGGCTATGGTTTTGCTGTTGTTACACGAAAGAAGGATATGGAGACTGCTGGTATGCAGACATCATTACCGACAATGACAAAGGAACAGCGCAAAGTTGAGAAGGAGAAACGCAAAGCCCTCTTGAATGCAAAGCATTTGCTGAGGTAGAGGGGTTGAAGGATGAAGTAAGACCAATGGTCTGTGTTTTCCTTGCGTTGAATCGTGTGTCATACGGGAGTCAATCTTGCAATTGCCAAGATTGTGTCTGACAAGCACCGTGCTGATAATCGCCAGGGTTTATTATGATTATGGTGTCATGACATGCTTGTACTAACTGAATTGACTGCAACTTGCTGGTTTTGTTACTGTTCCAAGTCTTTTTTTCTTGTTTTGTTGCACTCCTGGCCCGGCGCCAAGTGAGCGCCCCATGACTACTACCATAGGTAGACTTAGCTTGAAAACAGCAAGCTTGAAGACATCAAGACAAGACGATGACTTACTGAGTTGTGTCAGTCCAGCACAGGCCAGCTCAGCTAGGGGTGGTTTGTTTGTGAATTCACAGCCGTGAGGCTCGTCCTCCTAAAATACTTTCGCAAAACAAACAATATCATTTCATATTTAATTGCATTGCCTTCGGCAAGCCCGCCGGCCATCGAGTGGTGGCCCCAAGGGATCTTGATGTGCACTCTAGGTGGTTGACCGTATACCAAATGAATACTGCCCGCAGCAGGTACCATGTATGAGCTTTTGGCTTGACAGCGTAAAGGCTTCCTGTGTGAGAAAGCTTCTGTTTGTAAAAGCTTCTCTCTGCAAAAGCTTTCTGGGTGTGAAAGCCTGCTGTGTGTAAATGCTTGCTGTGTGTAAAAGCGGCGTAAATGCTTGCTGTGTGTAAATGCTTGCTGTGTGTGAAAGCCTGCTGTGTGTAAAAGCTTCTCTGTGTAAAGGTGTGCTGTGTGTAAAAGCTTCTGTGTGTAGGCGCTTGCTGTGTGTAAAAGCTTCGCTGTGTAAATGCTTGCTGTGTGTACAAGCTTCTGTGTGTAAACGCTTGCTGCGTGTAAAAGCTTCTCTGTGAGTAGCAGGAGTAGCACAGATGACCGGAGTAGCAGGAGTGCGGGCGTAGCAGCAGCAGCAGCAGGAGTAGCAGGAATAGCAGGAGCGGCAGTAGCCGTAGCCGTAGGAGCGGGAGCAGCAATGGCAGTAGCAGTAGGAGTAGGAGTAGGAGTCGTAGTCGTAGTCTTAATCCTAAAAATAGTAGTAGTAGTACTAGTCGTAGTACTAGTAGTAGTACTAGTAGTAGTAGTAGTAGTAGTAGCAGTAGTAGTAGTAGTAGCAGCACTACTAGTACTAGTACTCTAGTACTGGTACTAGTAGTAGTAGTAGTAGCAGCAGTAGTAGTAGGAGTAGGAGTAGCAGTAGCATTAGTAGTAGTAGTAGTAGAAGTAGTAGTAGTAGTAGTAGCAGCAGTAGTAGTAGGAGTAGGAGTAGGAGTAGCAGTAGCATTAGTAGTAGTAGTAGTAGTAGAAGTAGTAGTAGTAGTAGTAGTAGTAGTAGTAGAAGTAGTAGTAGTAGTAGCAGTAGTAGTAGTAGTAGTATACCGCTGCCACTTCTACTTTTACTATTACCAGTGCTACTATTACTACTAGTGGGTGGAAGGGGGGGAGGGGGGGAACCTTGATTCAGACGAAGCAAAAACGCGTCGCAGGAGAACAAAGGAACGTGTACAAGCCAAGAACAAAACAGGAACAACAACACCTTCCAATCATACACGCCGGCAGGCCGGCGGATTGATCATATTGATCGCCTGGGGTTGGCAGAAAAAAAACTACCTCTGTGCTGGGCACAGCAGGACTGTCCTAGGAAGAGACCGGGTTCCCTGACAGCGTGTCATCCAAGGGAGCGAGAGCGGGAAAAACAGGACAGCCAGCTTTTCATTTTTCCAAACTTGGAAAACCGATGTCCAAACTACTAGAAGCCGATGCACAAAAGATTCGACCATCAGGCCATCTAAGTACGCGATTCCTTTATTCCATGCTGCGATGTCATGCCCAGAAGTCTTTTGATCCCGAGGTCCATGGTTGCATAGCCCAGGGACGCCGCTGCACGATGCAGTTTGTGGCGCACACGGTTTGAAAAATGGGTTTATGATGCGTTGCTTGGGTGTGAATTCCAAAGAGTGATATAATCGATGCATTGTAGTTAATGGCCTTTTGCTTGCTCCCTCATGTTTTTTTCCCACACATTGGGGCTACGTGGCTTCAAATATGCCAATACAGAATTCAAATAGTAACACTTACTCGAAGAATTGTGCAATGAGCCATGTGCAAGCTAGTGGCTTGGTGCTGCTCAGAGTTCTTCCCGTTCTTCCCTGGGAATTTTGTTTTTTTACACACACGGAACCATTATAGCGCCAGGAGGCTGAAAAGCCTCAGGTTCTTGGCGGGTATGTTTTTAACACGCCCTACAGCTAATTACGAACGTCTCAAGCCGATATCAGAGGTCACTGCAAGGTTGAAATACCTGTGACCCATTTCTGTGTGATCAAGTTGCCAGATGTAGTCAATAGAGTTTCTGGCAGTATTGGTATGCGTGAGAGACATAGGTGAAAGTGCGGCTTGAGCGCGTGCAATTGATGATTGGCACATTTCAGTTGCTTGTTTGATGCAGTCATGTTGCAAGAGTGTGGAATGCCGTCATGTGGAATCTCGTTTTTAAACGAAACGGAACAAACAAATGAAACACAAACAAATTTTGAGTGTTTTGTGCAATGCGCCTTGTTTTTGTTGCAGTTAGATTTTTGTTTGTTTGTCAGTTGGCGAGTGCAATTTTTGCGGAGATGGCTTGTTGAAGGGTTCTGATCAAACCACGGAGACATCCTCATTTCCTGAACATGTGCATGTCTGTCAATCGATTTTTTTGAGTTGGTGCTGCATACAATAGGGATTGCACAGTGAACTCACGAGAACTTGTTTTAGTTTTAGGGATGGTGACTGTTTTGGTGGTTTGTAGAGAGAAGGACAGTCAGATTTTCCCCTGATTTTGCTGCTTTGGAAGTGAGGCCAGATTGTGTTGCATGTTGGAACTTGTGATACTGGTTCGCAAAATTCTGGTATGCTGGTGGCGTCCAGAATTTTGGGAAACAGTCTTGTGAATGATTTGTGTTGTTTAGTGACTTGTGTTGTTTGGCATGTCTTTCATGTTGGTATGATGGAAATGGAAGAATGCGGCTCTACATTCAACAGGGATTGTCTGCCCGTGTCGTCCAAGCCTTGCATCGTAGACTCGAGAGGGTAGTCAGCATGGCAGGTGAAGGTGGACCCCACATTCATGGTGTGCCAGGGGAAGGTGAACTATGATGCGGAAGGAGACCGAGCTGACCGATCGAGATCACCAGCTCGAGCCGCGTTGGGAGCCCCTGGAGCCGCGTTGGAAGCCCCTGGAGCCGCGTTGGAAGTCCCTGGAATGCCAGCTGCAGAAGGCCGTGATGTGGAGGTTCCTCCAAACCCTGAGGATGTCATTGAGGATACCATTGGGGATCCCGAGATTTCGATGATGATGGCTTCAAAGGCCTTGGCGCAGAGTATCCTGGCATGCTCACGCCGAATTGCAGCCATCTCGGAAGAGCTGAACCAGGCCATGGAAGGGTACAATGAAGGACGCCTGGAATTAGTGAAAAGCCTGGGAAGTATCAAAGAGCAGCTTGCTCTTCATGCACATGGGGCAACGGCGATGGGTAGTACCGTTGCTCATCAAAGCAACGAGGTGAAAAAGCTGCTCGCTGCTTTCGACAAGTTCAGTCACATAGCCAAATGGTCGCTGAAAGGCAACAATACCCTTGAAGATAACATTGGCTCTGTGAAAGAAGAAGTGGGAAATCGAGGGGAGAAAATAGAACAGGCCATCAAGGTAGGCCTTGGAGGGGTGACTGGCCTCCTTCGAGATCTCATCCGGGTGATCGGAGAAAAGGGTGAACCAGATCCTTCGAAGGCCCCAGGGATGCCGATGCCTGAAAGGATGGAAGGTTACCCATCCTTCCCGCTTCAGAATGTTCCAAGCGGAGTTGGACAGGTGGGAACTCCTGCCACACCTGGTATGGCTGGAATGACTGGGAACACGGTTCCATCGTCCGTGCATGGACATGCCCCGAAGGGGGCGTCTGGACATGGATCCTCTGCAGGCGGAGTGCCAGTGCATGGAGCCCCAGGAGCCTCGGCATATGGACTGCCGACTAATGTGCAGCCACCACAGGTGGCGCCTCCTGCAGCGCCATCAGTGACTATGCCAGCAGGACTGATGACACCGGCTGCACTGCCTGAGTCCCTGTTTGTGGGCTTCTGCCCTATCAACCCTGGGGAGCAGAGGCCGGCCATGTCTTTGCATCCTGGGCTGACTACGCCAGGCCAACGGCAAGGGGCTATCATGTCGAAAGATGCAACCAGCGGTGAAGTCCGCACGTTATCCCCTACGCCATACAAGGGCGCCCAAGTGAATGCCCTCATATCGCTTTGGGCACCAGGCGGCCTGGCCATGTTGCGCGATGGGCAACAACAGTGTCGTCGGGTGTATCAATAGAGATGCTGGTGCCGCCCTGGGATGACATCTGAGAGAGGCCTGAATATTTTTTTGTGAAGGATTAGCAGTTTTCTTTGCGGCAGAGAGAATAGCTAGTATCGGCTAGCTCGAGGTTCACTCTGGTGCACCATTGCTATGACTGTGTCTGTGATTCAGACCTCCTGCACTGCAAAAGGGGGTGAGCCTGCAAGGTTTGATATTGCTTGGGATGAATCAGCTCTGGATTGGAACGGTGTCATGTTTGCGTTGTCCTTGGACATGCTTGTGAATTTGAGCATGTTTGTGAACTTGAGCATGTTTGTGAATTTGTTGTGAACTTGTGCATTGTGATTGATTCATTGTTGAGTGTGGTTTGTGTTTATCTGCCGCCGTTTTCCAAATGATGACAAGGCCAGACCTGATTCTTAATTGAGGAGAATCAAAGTAGGTCCAGGCCAAACGTCTGATGGAAACCCTTGGAAGGTTTTGTTTTTGATTTTGAGCGTCTTGTGATTGATTTGATTGTGATATCAGTGGATTGGACATCCCTGGCTTGAGATACATGTCAGTGTTGTTGAAATTGCTTTTGATAGGTTTGCGCATCTTGATGTCAGTGGAAT